GCTCTGCATGTTTTGCACGTCTCTCTTTGTTAACACACCTGATTCAGATCATCTCGTTAGAAGTGAGCTCCGTGCATGAACTGTGTTCCGATTGACATGGTCCCTACACAGTGTCCATTGCTCCCTACTCCCTGAGCAGGGGAAATCCGTTGAAGTTTACTTCACTTCGGAATATTCATTTACAGATTTGCGCTGCGCCGCTGCCTGCAGCGTCTTCACACACAAACGAAACTTACTAGAGAAGCGTGAAGTGGGACATAATATACCTCTGTAAATAAATACAATTTAAATTCACGTCTCGCACACTTAAATGCCCTTTGTATGGAACATATACGCTCCCTTCAAACTGGAATCATGGCGGAATATCCGGTAATGTCCATGTCGCAAGGCACTTACAGTCAAATATAGCAAACGTATAAAGCAATAAGAGAAACATACAAAATGTGCAGAGCGGGGGTATGCGAGGACTGGAATTGAGAACCGCTGTTCTAGACATGCCAAAAATTTGAGGCTACAGCACAGCAGCTCTTCTTCTTGGTTTTCTCTGACGCACTAACTCTGCAACAGCTCTTCTTCTTCGTCGTCTCGTCTGATGCGTTCACTCAACCAAGCGTTCTAACCACGACCTCGCCCCTCCCCACCCCCCAACCATTCAAATTTTTGTAGGCAGGAATTTTTTGTAATGAAATTCTAATGAGCCGCTTTGTGATATCATAAAGCCCGGAAACCAAACGCTGTAGTCCAAACGAGCCGTTTGCTGTAGTTCTTGAAAAGAGATTTTTTTTTTAAACTAAATATCTCCCTTTGGAGTGGACTTTGAGATTTGTAACTTTCTAGATCTTTTTTATGCCCAAACATACACACTACACACTGACTAAAATTAAAAAAGTGAAAAAGCATAATAGGACCCCTTTAATAAATTGATGTTAAGTTTCATGATTTAAATTAATTAGACATGCTTTTTGATTAATAAAATTTAATTTAACCATTAAAAAGGAGTCCAGAAAAAAAAACCTGTAAACCTAGGGGAAACACTGTATGTCTATATATATATATATATATTTACATACATACATACAGGTACATCTCAAAAAATTAGAATATCATGAAAAAGGTCAATATATTTTGTCACTCATTTTGACACCAGACCCAACAATGCAGATGACCTGAAGGCCGCTATCAAAGCAACCTGGGATTCCATTACACCTGAGCAGTACCACAGGCTGATTGCCTCCATGCCACGCCGCTGACCAATATAAGTTGTAATTGTTATTAACAGTTCTGTTTATTTCATACACATTTTGCCAACTGCTAATAAAGAACAAAAATTATACTCATTTTGGATATTTTGAGGTGACAGACTCGTGCAACCAAACTAGAGTTCCCATCATTCTCTGTGTCAGCACAAGAATTATTAAGTACGCAGATAAAGTATCGATTGCATGACGTAATCTTTGGCTCGTTATAAACTAAATTAACTATTTTTGTTGGCAAGTGGAAAAGAAATGTAAAATATGAAATTGCCCAACGGGTTCATTTGTATACTGGAAATCATTTTAACGCACCTCTTGTCATAAATGTCTGATTTCCGTGATGTGTATGTTCATGTGATGATGTGGCTGTGCTCTTTCGGCAGGCTCGTGGTTCTGTCCGTGGTTCTCTTTGGGCTGCCGTACAGTTCAGAGCAATCATGCTCGGTCACGCTGGTGGATCACGGTCGTGGTTACCTCGGCATCCTGGTCAGCTGTCTGATCTGCGAGAGCGCCATCATGTGGCTGAGCATGAGAGGCAGCATCCTGTACACACAACCCAGAGAGGCAGTGCAGTACGTGCTCTATATACGGCTGGGTAAGACACACACTTGCATATTTATAAAAACAACCATGAAAAATCTTTCATCAGTTCCCTCAGTACATGCAATCTCATATGTCAACTCTGTTAACTGTAGTGATCCATCATAGACATGCTTCTGAAGCAAATGCTATTCCAAATTTTAAGGCAGCATTGCAAGTATCATTTGTGGAGAAAGCAATCCCAGAATGCATTGCAATGGACCCTTTTCACAAGACCGTCATCAACATCGTAAATCATCAAGTTTTTTTATATGAATGTATGTACATTTATAACACTATACTTTGTATTATATCACCTTTGCATCAAATTACAAAAAAACTAGTTAACGCTAATGTGAGGGTGTTTCTAATGCAGCGTCCATGGGAGGGATGCTAAATTTGACATCATTCTCTCTTCTGACTGCCGTTATCAGTCTCTCTCATTTTTTCCTTTGATTGAAAGAATTTTGACCAATAGCCGATGCCGATATATAATTATTTTTAATTTTGGTTAGTTTTTAACAGGAACTTATTAGTTAGATAATTAAATAAACAATAATAAAGTTATTTTATAATGACATTGAAGATTGGAAAATAACTATAAATAAACTATATATTAATCACTGCATTTTTTTCTATAGAAAGATGCAGTGGTAACCTTAACATTTTATTTTATGATAACATTTGTAAATGGTCTAAAGCAAAAGAGTTGTAAAAATTCTGAAAATCTTTTAGAGCTCATAATTTGTTCAAAAAGTATAACATATTACACATTAATGAATAAATCAGTAGGTATATATAAAATTATTTCATTTAAAGCTGCAGTCCGTAAGTTTTGCTTCTTTGTCGTCATCTCTGTTTGAAAACCTGGAATAGCAGCTGTGTGCGGAATTATCTAGCTTGCATGGGTTGTGCACGGCTCCAGCGCGGATTAATCTAATGTTCTGAAGAGTACGTGTGGAAGCACCGCACCGGTGTGGATATTTACTGTACTTCGCAATCACAGATTCTAGCCTATGTCTTGGAATATGACCCAAATAAGAATTTTCACCATATATTGCATCTGAACAAGTCTGCCACGTTTGTTCTGACCAACTGAGGAAAAAAGCATTACCATAAACCACGCTACCAATGGTGATTAAATCTATAGATCGGTTAGCTCATATCACATAAAACCGTTCAAATTATTATTATTGTTATATTTTATTCTCAAATGATTAATATTAACAACATCAGCATTGGTGACTATGAGTAGTGTGTATGTATATTTCAATTTCTGCACAGTCTAATCTAATTGTCATACTCTTCGAATTTCATATTAAGAAATTATTTTAACCCAAAAAGCAAATTATGCTCCCTTCGAACTGGTTTTCTTTAAAATACAAATCTTTGTAATCCCAGG